GTGTGTGTGTGTGTGTGTGTGTGTGTGTGTGTGTGTGGTGAGCACGCCCTGGACCCAGCTCAGCAAAGGTGGAGGGATTCCCACCCAGTGGAGGACGGAGGGCCAAGCTTTGCACCCAGCGGAGAGCACCCAATTTCACCAACACACGCGGCCCAGCCGCCTCGACTCACAGCTTCCTGCCTGCAGGTTGTTCTGTTCACGAGGAAACCTCCTTGGGTCTTGTCTTAAAAGCCTGGGCACGTTCTCACACAGCCTGGCAGAGGCCTTGTGGCCGTCCAACTCCTGCTCCTTTAGGGGCCGGCCACCCCCGCGTCTAGGGAGGGGCAGTGACATCGCCAGGTCTGACCCTGGTTCGCAGAAGCAGCCACCCCGGAGGGAGTGTGAACGGCTCTGTGGGAGCCGGCTAATGTTTATGGAGGAAAGAAGTCTTTCTAAACCGTCAGCCATCGAAGAGAATGTGTAGACAGAGGCGGAGAGAAAGAGAAATGATTCTCCTCTACTTCCTCGCCTCGTGGTCCCTAGGTTTAACTCAGGTCACATCACACGCTGGCCTGTTTTTCCGCGTGACAAGGGGCAGAGAGGTGGCGTGGGTCGTGAGCCGGGGACTCCCCCTCTGCGGACTCTAAGAATCTCCTTCCGAGAGAGAAGCCAGCCAGCGGGGGCCAGGGCCCCACGCTGCGGACATCCCAGCAGCTGCCACGCAGGGACTCCAGCTAGAGGGGCGCCGGTCTGTGCCGAGCGACAAGGGGCTTCTCGCGGGGCCCCGGGCTCCAGGATCAGTTAAGCCAGCGCAGTTGAGAATTACAGAACAAGTAGCCATTCTCACACTTCCTATGCGCTTTCATGGGTTTTTCTCTAATGTGCTTTTTTGCTCTAATGTAACACTTAACACTCATACGTTCTTAGTCACTAGCTCTATCCTTGAAGGGGAAAAAATATGTTTACATATAACCGAGAAGAAGAATACACCGTGATTCATGGCTCCCCACTATTCACACCCTGGAACACCTGGCTGTTTGCACCGAGGCCGCAGCCAAGGCCCCGCTGCTCACCCACAGCTGACACTGTCCACATGGGCAAGGAGACCCTCTCATGGGATTCCTCAGCCTCGGGGCTGGGGCCGCCCCCGCGGACTGCCGTGATGACACGCGTTGCAAAAATCTGCTGTGAAGAAGTATTAAAGTTGCCCGTCATATACTTTTCGAAGTGAACGCATCCGTCAGTGCCACTCACAACTGCTGCGTGCCACCCCGAGCTGGGGTTGCAGCCAGGAGGCTGAGGCGTGGGTCCTGCACACGTGTATCACCCGTCACGCGCGTCGTGGCGGAAAACTCTGAGAACAGCCGTCTCGGCCTGATCTGAGCATCACTTCGCACCAATGACACCGTCTCTGCCGGAAGGCCAAGGCCGGCCTTCGCCAGCCTGGTGGCCCAGGACCCGCAGGTGGGACCAAAGTCCTCACGAGGGCAGCGGCCAGTACGGGCCACCTGCAGACATCAACCCACAGAGACCTGTGGGATGTTGGCCCCTCTTTCCAGATAAGGGAATGGAGACTCAGAGACGGGAAGTACGAACGCCAAGGCCGCGCTCCCCCGGCTCCACTGGGGAACGAGGATGGGCCGCCATTACAGCTGTCCCTCCCTGGTTTTCAAGGACGCACAGCTTCCCTTCACCTGTCTCCCCAGCCGATCCTGCTTTTCCCGTTACATTCCGCCATTCCCTGAGGGCACAGCCTGGCAGGTGCCACGCTGTGACACACTCCGCTCTCCTGACCAGCTCCACCTCGGTCTCTCTCACAGGGGCCCCTCAGGAGAGCGGGATGGCAGATGCCGCGAGTGGCTTGTCCCTACCTATCTTGCCCGGCACCACCTGTCCTGCAGCCACGGCCAGTGCCAGCTGGCAAGGCGGAGACAGAGGTCCCGGGGAAGGTGTCCCTTCTCAGGAGGCAGGAGCCCCTTGCGCTGGGTCCTTGTTCCTTCTGGACCCGATGCTGGCCTGATGCCTGGAGGGGTAGGAGCCTCTTGCAACGGCAAGGACAAAACCGTACCCCAAGGACGGCGGGGCAGGAAGACGGGACGGGGTCCGGACACTTCCGGGCCCTCGCTCTGAGAGCATCACAGGGTGATGTGCGGCTGGCGGTGTCACATCCCTCCCTCAAACAGGAGGAGCTGAGGCTCTGGGACAGTGACCCGCACAGCCAGTGACGCTGGAGTCCTACAGCCCCAGCCCGCCCAGGGCGCCCAAGTGCGCAGCCAGCAGGAGACCAGGCACAGGGGAGGCCTTACCTGGGCGTGGGGCTGCTGTCGCTGCCCTTGCAGGAGCCCGAGTTGCTGCTGCTGCTGAGAGAGGAGGTGCCGTAGGCGTCCCGCACGCTCACTGGCGGAGAGGTGCGCCTGGAGGCAGGGAGAAGAGGCAGGTGCTCGTTCTGGCTGGCGGGCAGCTGCGGACACTGGGCGAACACCGCCAGGCCGCTGCGGCCCAAAGGGCCCCCGCTGCGGGGTCGGCGCCGGGGAGAGAAGCAGAGGGGAGAGGGGGACGCACAGACAGGGGTGACAGAACAGACAGCGCAAATCAAGATGGAAAACCAGGAGCAGGCCGGTCCTCCTGGCTCCCCAGGACAGGAATGGAGGCTGGGCAGGGCCAAGGGCGGGGGGG